TGGAAGGAGGTGAGGGAGGAATGGGGTACGCGCCCCTGATGGGGAGGACTGGGCTGGCTCCGTGGGCTTCTGGGGGTGGAAGCTCTCCTGCAGCCCCCCAATTGCCCCCTCTCCCCAGATGGCAGCCTGCGGCAAGTGCAGCCGGTCTGATGGCCAAGTGTTGTGATGTGGCCGAGTGCTGTGGGTACTCCGGGCAATCCAAGCCAGGACTGCTTTGCAAGCGGGGCACCCCTGAGAAATGTCTGTCCGGGGTGGGGGTCGGGACCCTTTAAGCACAGCCCTCGGCTAGCCTGAGACAGCATCTCCACGCTCTAAGTCCTCCTCTGATGCCGTGCCGGCACTGCTTCCGGCCATCCTTAAGCCTGGTTCAGGGTCCACTTAATGTGGACATGCTAGTTCGAATTAGCAAAATGCTAATTCGAACTAGTTTTTTAGTCTGGATCCGTTAGTTCGAATTAGCTTAGTTCGAATTAACTAATTCGAACTAAGTTAATTCGAATTAACGTTGTAGTGTAGACGTACCCTTAGAGTTATACACATATAGAACGTCTGAAAGCACTAAGCCCAGATTGGGATAGGGTAGCCCACAGGTAGATTTTCATATCCTAGTGAAAATTTGTGAGGGAGATGTAATCAGAATGTGTGCATGATAGAAGGGCAGACTCGCATTCAGTTTGAGACTTCTCAGAGTCACAGTTCTAAGAAGATGCCATATGTCCAGGATGTGCTCTTCTTGTAAATGAATCTCTCTCACTGAAGCATCTAAGTACTTTTCTCTTTTCTCATTGCTCTATGCTTGTCTCGCATGATCATAGCTTTTGTGTTTTCTAGTCACTTATAGGAGCTAAGTATCATAGTTATCTATTGTAATTAATTCAGATGTCCAAAATGAAATCTTCAGCAATTTATAATTCTCTTCACTGGTCAGAGAGAGAGAATTCAGTGTGAGGCTTGGTTCTGACTGCTGGCAGAAACCTGGGCTACCTGAGGCAGGCTGCGGGCATTCTTCTTCCTCCTCCCACCAGGCTCCTGAGTGAGAATCACAAAAACAGAACTTTAGATTTATGCACTTCAGTTTAATCTCTGCTGCCTTCTCAAAGAACAACCTAAGAACCTCAAACTCCAATCTCCACTGGCAAGTAGGAAGTAGTTTTAGAAATGCTCTGTTCCGAAGAAGCCTTTTCTATGTCAAAGGGAGAATTGCCACTGCCTAGTCCATTCAGTTGTATGGTAGGGTCAGAAATTATAACCCAGAGGTTTTTCTCACAACTGATTTTTTAGTGGCCATGAAGTGTGGCCACCAACTCTTGCTGGTGCTACACTGACACTTTTTCCTAAAATATTTAATTAATTTTAGGAAACGCAAATATGCACTTGTTCAGGTCCAAATCATTGTAACTTTGTGGGTTTTATTTTTGCAGACTCAATAATAAAAATAATGCTGTGATAAATGATATTTCTGAGATTGTTAGTATTACTGTTAACAGAAAATTTAGCGACCTGGTGGACTTTGAAAAGCGATAAGTGATTTTAACAAAACATATAAGTATAATTTTTTCATAGCCTTCCAGCTAGCTAGAAAGTCTACTATGAAAAAGTAATACTTGTATGTTTATTAATACCACTTTTCTCAGCAAGCCCCACGACAAATTAAGCCCCAGAAGGTGGGAGATTCAAGGGGGAAGTAGCAGAGACAAATGGGTGATGGCAAGATGGATTTGGAGCCTGGGGAGACAGCGGGAGCCAGGGGCAATGGGGGTCGATAGTGAGCCTCACCTCCCCATAGCCATAGCCAGAGGCTGGCATCTTCTGCTGTGTGGCCAGTGGTCGGTGTCTGTGGAGCTGAGGGTCAAAGCTAACTTCCAGGGGTCACTGTCCCCATGGTCAGAGGCAGGAGCAGGAGCTACATGGCCAGAGCTGGGGTTTGGAGCTTGCTTTTGCATGTCTGGAGCTATGGATTGGCACCTAGAACCAGTGCCCTCTGCCATGTAGCCAGTGCTTGGAGCTGGGTGCTCAAGGCCAGAGCTTTATGTCTGGAGCCGGGGGTCAGTAGCTGGTGCTTGCTGCTGCATGACCAGCACTAGGGTCAGCTCCTGCCACCACATGGCTAGAACCTGGGATCAGAGCCAGGGGTCAGTGCCTACTGCCATGCGGCGGGGGCTGAGATCAGCATCAGGGACCGGATCTGCATGGCCAAAGCTAGGGATTGGCAGCTGGAGTTCTACAGATGAAAGCTGGAGTAGTGTGACCAGATATAGAGCTCAGGTGTTGGTGCCCATACTCTGTAGTTCTAGCCTGATACTGGGCAGCTGAGGTAGGAGGTCAGTGCCTGGGGCCAGAGCCCATTGCTGGAGCTTGTCATTGAAGCCCAGGGGCCAGTGCCAAACTGCCATGCAACTGGAGACCAGAGCCTAATGCCCTCTGGCTACATGGGGTCCACACCCAGAGTTGGTGGCCTTGCAGCTAGGCTCCTGAAGTCCTGCTGCTGGAGCCTGCTGCCAAACAACCCCAGCACTGAAGCCCAGAGTATCTCTCCCCAAGTAGGTCAAAAACTCATCTTGCTTCTGCAGCACAGCATTGCACCCCACCTGTCTCCAGGGGCAGGGCAGCACGTCTATGAGTAACGAGGAGGGCAGGCTAATGATTTGTCCCCTTTTCTTTCCATTTCCATCCAGGAGGCTGTCATGTCTGACTCTGGTGGTCACATGCGACCACAGTGACTTCATTTGAGAAAAACTGTTTTAACCCTCCTGTATCTTCACAACTTTGTCATAACAAATGTCTCAAGTCATCCAGAGTTTTTGCATGGGTGTCCAAATACCTCTCTTCAGCTCCATAAAGATAAAGGAATCCTAAATATCCTATTCAATCAAATGGAATCTTGGGCCTTATTTGAATCATAGTCCAACTCTGCAAAAAGATGTTATGTAATGCAGAATGTCTGTGTCTTGCATTCTGCTGTACAGAGAAGGCAGTAAATGAAAATCTGGTTCAGTCAGTTCCCAGAGACTTCCTAATACAGTCCAATAAAGGAGGGAGGAGTATTCAGCTCTAGCTACTTACATATTAAGATAAATAAGTTAATTTGGATGGGGAAGGGTGTTGATGGGAAAGTATATAATATATGTTTCCTCCACATGAAGTAAAAAGTCCCTGAATCCAAAAGATTTCTTAGGATTTTACAAACATACTGCTCTCACTAGTTCTAGATTTGTTGCTGCCTGTATTCTGGTTGCAGAAAGAGGAACTGTTCAATGCCAAGTAAAGGACAACCAAGGCTTGGCTATGTGGAGATATATTTAAGTGGCACCAGCCTGTATCACAGTATGAGTGACCTGCTGCACACATGTATTCCATAGTTACTGTTTTAGTTAAATTGCATAAGACTTTTCTTGGTTCCTTGTGACAGAGTTGAGTGTAAAAAGCAGATCTCCTATAATAATAACTTGTGGGAAAGCACAAGAAACTGACTGTGGGAATTGAGTATAGGATTTTGTCTTGCATTAGGAAAATTGGTTCAGGTGAAATATAAGTGCTGGAGTTAAATTTTCACTAACTATAGAGAGCACAGTAGAGATAACCTTAACATTCCTTGAGGAATAGCATCTACTATCCTGAAAGACTGTACTTGTTATAGCTGATGGCTGATGAAGTGTTTTGTATTGCTAGATTAGGGGGCAAACAGACTGATTTACATAAAAGATGAAAGAGTATTCCATAATGAATACAATTGCAAATTATTATATCTTAAACATTAACAAAAATCTGTAACAGCTCTTTCAAATTAACCAGTGGAGGTCAGGTCAGGATAGCTCTATTAAGAGGTCCTAGGTTATTTGAGAATTTACTGCATATCTGAGAAGAGTGGCTTAAATGCCTTGTGGATAGTTGCAGAAAATAGAACACCCTTGCCCTTCCCCTTCTGAGGTCCCACCCCTGCTCACTCTATCCTCTCTCCCTCCATAATTTGCTCACTCACTCATTTTTGCACGGTTGGGGCAGGGTGTTGGGGCACAGGAGAGGGTCAGGGCTTTGGCAAGGAGTATGGGCTCTGGATGCAGGAGGTGGCTCCAGGCTAGGACGGTGAAACGGGGGTGAAGACTCTGGCTGGAGGCATGGGTTTTGATGTGGGCTGGAAAAGAGGCATTTGGGATGCAGAAGAGGGAGCCAACTTGAGGCTGAAGAATTTGGAGTATAGGAGGAACTCAGGGCTGGACAGAGGGTTCGGGTGCAGGGGGTTTGGAGTGTGGGCTCTGGGCTGTGTTGACCTCAAGAGGCTCCTAGGAAGTGATCAGCATGTTCCTCTGACTCCTAGGTGGATTGGCAGATGGGGCTCTACGTGTTGCCTGTGCCACGTCTCCAGCTCCCATTGGCCACGGTTCTAGGTCACTGGGAGCCGTGAAGCCATTACTCAGAGCACCACATGTAGTTAGGGGCAGTGCATGAGTGCCCTCCCCTCCGACCCTGGCCATCCTTTCATCTAAGAGCCAGTGGGGTATGCCAGCTGTTTCCTGGGAGCAGTGTGGAGCCTGCCTGCCCTGCTAGTGCTGCGGCTAACTGGACTTTTAGTTGTCAGATGACTGACAACCCTATCTGTGACGCTTCATAGTCTAGAAGGTGTACGTACCTGACCATTTACACACACTCTCAAAATGTCATTGATTGTACTTCAGTAAAATTACAGTAACATTTTCAGTAAAATTACAAAACATCAAAGTAAATATAACCATAGCACAAGCAGTTATATAATGGTTGTAGTGTTTATGTCCAAACTCTTGATCCCTGTAAGACACAAATGGATCCTCAGGATCACCTAAACCATATTGGAAGCATTACTTAGTCCAAGCCATACAGCATGGACACAACACAGAATCATTTGATCCCCTGTTGATTTGTACCTGAAATGCTCTTTTCACATTGTAGAAGAAGAATTAGTGCAGTTCTTAGAAAAATTATGTTCATTATCTCTGAAATGATCTGAGATCACGATTTTTGTTACATAATAAGGAACAATCTTCTCTTAGATGATTAGGACTCAAGGGTGGCATTTTTCCCTTAGAAACATACAATACTCTTATATAAATACCTGTAATAGGTGTAGCAGCAGTGATTATTTGTATAATAGTTTTCCTCTTACATGATATTGTCTAGGAAGATAATGAATTCTACTTGGAAGCACGAACTTCCTACTCACGTTCGTCGGAAGGCAGTGCGGATATCCATGTCTCCAGTTCCTGGTGCTTCTGGTGTGATGTACAATGAAAAACAGTTGAGTGTTGCTTGAAAGAGACAAAGTACCACTACAAAAGTTTTTCCTTTCAAGACATCTTTGTTTCAAAGATCTTATATTTTAATTAACATTAATCACTTAGTAAATTGTGGCCATGTTTAGTGCAGGTAACTGTCTGGGATTCTTTCTCAAGCTTCACATTAATTTGCAGTTTGACAGTGGGAGAGTAACATTGTCTTCTCTAAAATCTGGTCTAAATATAATGGTTCCAGCACCAGGGTGTTCAGCAAGCCCGCAGATGGCTGTCCTTCAGCAAGCGACTGGTGGGAAGAACTTAGGAAGGGAGTGGTGGGTGTGCAGGGGAATCTTGAGGTGAAGAGGCATGGTGTGGAAGAAGCCCAGTAAAAGCACAGCCTCCAAGTGGAGTGGGGGTGGAACACCCATAGAGAAAAACAAGTCAGTGCCTATGCTGTGAGGTTCCTGTGGAACCCCAGTCATAAACTAAAGGTACAACCCCTGAGGAAATACTGGAATAACAAGGCTGAATCATTCTCACACTGTCTTAGCCAAGTCTCTGGTGACCTTTAGTTGATTGGAGGTAAATAGATGGTTAAATATACTTTCCCTTTTAATCACTGGTAAGTTTTTACACTTCAGCTACCAGAAGCTTCTGCAGTGCTTCCATTTCAGAACCTTTGGCAACTTAGACCTGGAATTAATTCTCAGATTTTTCCTAATTTTTCCTGAGATTATTGCTCATAGAATTAAGTGTCTGAAGTGCAGATAAAGCCAAGGATAATATAGGCTAATTCTCTTCTTTCTTACTTCATGTTGCTCTTTCAGTGCATCTCAGTCCTGGCTTGAATTACATACTTTTCTTTCCAGAGACCCATCCTCCTCTCTCATAGCCCTGTGTGCCAATGCATCTCAATCCACAGCTGTAGCACTCCTGTGGTTTTAGCTCTGCCCTGACCAACACCTTTGCGTGGTGGCCACTGTTTATTGGGGAGAGAGGTTAATCTGTACACAGGGAGGACAGTTATTGGGATAAAATAGAAACTAGGTAGTCCATATGGTGAATACAAGAAACTTACACAATTACTCTTGTTCAAGTGAGTTCAATCACTATCAATCAGAGCTATGAAATACATAAATCCAGATTAACATCAACTCGACACTGTCTCCATTACAAAGAAATACTGCGTAGTTCGATTTCTTTTTATTTACCCTCTCATCTTTAAGGCTTTAGAGTGTACACTGAGAGGAGTGACACATACATCCCTAACACCCTGCCAGGGAAAGGTGACATGCACATGTTCATGTATACTCCTCTCACACAAGGGGTTGACTGACTGACTTGACCCTCCTGGCCCTGTGCTCTCTGCTGCCCTCTTTGCCTGGCTGGCCTTGGCATTGCATTTTTCTGAGGCAACGTGTGGAGGAGGCATGCAGGGTCACCCCCCTAATTTTTGCAATGGTTCACACCAGAATGTGGCCAGCATCAGCCTTTCAGCACTGTGAAGGAAGGAAAAGATGGGAACTGCTTCCAGCTGCAGAGTGGAAGGAGGGGGAAGGGATACCTGGCTGTTGTCTTTGCAAAGCTCTCTTCTCTCCCCTCTCCCCATCTTGAATCATCTTGTCCCTTCCAATACTTCCAGGCACCTACTGGCCACCTTTGGCTACAGTGCAGGCAGGAAGGGATTATGCCCTAAAATGTGAACCAGGAACAGGGAATCTGACTACAGGGACTTCAAGAAACAGGGACAGAGAAGTAGCTCCGCTAAGGAGGGTGCTTAAAGAACAGAGCACCCTCTTGATCCTTGGGAGCAGTATTTGGAGGTGGGAGTAGGGCAAATGAAGAGTGGTAAATTCCTGCCCCAGAGACTGCTGTGGAGCCCACAGGATTGGGGCATAAATAAGCTGGAAATCCCCCTCGTCACTCCAGAATTTAGCTAAGAGGCTTCTCCATGTCAATGCTGTATGAGGCTTTTGCAAATGTTTGGCTCCTCCTGGCCAGCACCCGGGACTGGCAGATGTTGGGCTTTCCTGGAGCACTGGCCCAGGCAGAGGCAGCAGGGGAGTAGATTACAAAGATTGTCGAGCCCTGCTGGTAGCCAAGAAGGCTAATGGCATTTTAGGGTGCATTAGGAGGAACATTGCCAGAAGATCTAGGGAAGTTGTTATTCCCCTTTATTTGGCACTGGTGAGGCCACATCTGGTGTATTGCATCCAGTTCGGGGGCCCCCACTATAGAAAGGATGTGGATGCCTTGGAGAGGGCAACCAAAATTATTAGGGGGCTGGAGCACATGATCTAAAAGGAGAGGCTGACGGATTTGGGCTTATTTAGTCTGGAGAAGAGAAGAGAGGATTTAATAACAGCCTTCAACTTCCTGAAGGGGGTTCCAAAGAGGATGGAGAGAGGCTGTTCCCAGTAGTGATGGATGGCAGAACAAGGAATAATGGTCTCAAATTATAGTGGGGGAGGTCTAGGTTGGATATTAGGAAAAACGAGTTCACTAGGAGGGTAGTGAAGCACTGGAATGGGTGACCTAGGGAGGTGGTGAAATCTCCATCCCTAGAGGATTTTAAGTCCCAGCTTGACAAACTCCTGGCTGGGATGATTTCGTTGTGGTTGGTCCTGCTTTGGGTAGGGGGCTGGACTTGATGACCTCCTGAAGTCTCTTCCAACCCTAGGTTTCTATGATTCTAGGGCCTACCGGTACTGATGGTGATGAGGGAGATGAGTCAGAAAATATGGGACAATTTGCCTGTATTTAAGAGAAAGTTAGGATACCTGCAAGAGGGCTTAAATATGGAACTGTTCCTTTAAAAACAGGACATTTGGTCACCTTAGATAAAACCTAACCAGACAACATATTTTCTCTAATGTTAAAAATATAATCTTACCATTGACAATCAGGTTGAAGTTACAGCTATCAAATTTGTCCTTGGTAGACACCTCACATCTATACCCCCCTGCATAAGTCACTTTTGCTTGGATAATGTGCATTTCAAAGATGTAAACCTAAAAAACAGATCAGTCCATCAAGTGAGGAAGTTAGAAAGTGAAAGGATAACAGATGCAGGGAAACAAATATAACATACTAGAACACTAAACAGTAATAAACAAAGATTTGTTCCCTGTATGTGCAACTCTCTCTCTCTCTCTCTCAGGGTATGTCTACACTGCAATCCTCTTTCGAGAGAGGAATGCAAATGCAGGTGAGCGAAATAGCAAATGAAGTGCGGATTTGAATTTCCCGTGCTTCATTTGCATAATCGCATCCGGCTGCTTTTTTGAAATACCCTATTTCGAAAAAAGAAACTCTGTCTAGACACGTAATATGTGTTTCAACCAGAAAGGACACTCTCTCAATGACTTAACCACCTGCATTCAGCTACAAAGACCTTTTACATCTGCACTTGAAAGGGAATCCTCTGAACTGTCATTCATGTTAAAATTCGACACTCTCCGGGAGGGAATGAACAAAGACCCAAACTATCTTACAGGCGTAAGCAAGAGCTAATGGAGCAGTTCCATAAACTCAGTCTTCAGAAGGTTTGGTGTTTCCGATGGGCAAATCTATACTATTCCATCCAGTAGAGGGCACTGGAGATGCATATACATAGCAAGTATATTGCAAACCATAACACTGTCTTGATCCCTGTAGGGAGAGGAGGAGACGCAACCCAGCTTCTTTGTGATCAAGGTGTCTGTCTCCAGGTAGAGAATTTGCATTATAGATTCATTTTAAGTGGTAATGTTTGTTTGTTGAGCCCTTTGTGTTGATTTATCCATTCTAATAAAGTAGTTATTTTCAGGGCTAATATATGGATGCCTACTTGTCTTAATATTAATGTGAGGAAAATTACACAATAAAATCATGGAAATTGCTATACTAGATAAATCCAATGATCCGTCATCTAATGCATGATCCTATCTCCGATAGTGACCAATACCAGTTTCCTGAGAGCCAGATGTAACTTCAGTAGGCAGTTACAGATTAATCTAATCTAATCTAATCTGTTCTAGTTTTTCAAAGGGACATTATTAAGGGTGCAAGAGCACACTATTCCATTGCATGAAAAAGATAGGAAGTATGGCAAGAGACCTTAGTGGCTAAATCAGGAAATCTTGAATGATTTAAAAATCAAAAAAGTGAAAACTAGGTAAAAGTACAAAGGATTAATATAAACAAGTAACACAACTCTGCAGTGGCAAAATTAGAAAGGTGAAGGCACAAAATTAGCTCAATTTAGCTAGAGACATAAAGGGTAACAAGAAAACATTCTACCAATATATTAGAAGCAAGAGTAAGACCTATGATAGGGTAGGCTTATTGCTCAATGAAGAGGGAAAAACAGTGACAGAAAATGTGGAAATGATAGAGCTGCTTAACGACTTCTTTGTTTCAGTTTTCACCACCAAGAAGGATGGTGGGATTGGGTGTTTATAATAGTATGTGCTGGTGAAACAGAGGTTGGTAGGTTCAGAAGTTAAAATAGGAAAAAAATAAGTTAAAAATTACTTAGAAAAGTTAATGTCTTCATGTCATTGGGCCTGATGAAATTTTTCATAGAATACTCAAGGAGCTGATTGAGGAGCTATCTGAGTCATTTCTATCATCTTTGAAAAATCATAAAGGATGGGGGAGATTTTAGAAGACTGGAAAAGGACAAGTATTGTGCACATCTACAAAAAGGGAAACTACAGAGCAGTCACCTTAAATTCTGTACCAGGAAAGATAATGGATCAAATAATTAAGGAATTCATCTGCAAACATCTGGAAATAATAAGGTGATAAACAACAGTCAGCATGGATTTATAAAGAACAAATCACATCAAACCAACCTGACAGCTTTCTTTCATAGGATAACAAACCTTGTGGATAAGGGGGAAGCTGTAGATATGTTATACCTAGATTTTAGTAAAGCATTTGATGCAGTCTCGCATCACCTTCTTATTGATAAACTAGGGAAATACAACATAGAGGAGCCACTATAAGGTGCGTGCATAACTAGTTGGATAACAATTATCAGAGAGTAGTTATTAATGGTTCACAGTCATGCTGGAAAGGAATAACAAGTGGGGTTCTGCAGGGATCAATTTTGGGACTGATTCAGTTCAATATTTTCATGAATGATTTAGATACTGGCATAGAGAGTATGCTTACAAAGTTTGCAGGTGACACCAAGCTATGAGGGGTCGCAAAAGCTTTGGAGGATAGGGTTATAATTCAAAATGATCTGGACAAACTGGAGAAATGGTCTGAGGTAAAGAGGATGAAGTTAAGTAAGGGCAAAGGAAAAGTACTCCACTTATGGAGGAACATTTTCACACATTCAAAATGGGAAATGACTGGAGTACTGCAGAAAGGTATCTAGGGAGCCATAATGACCACAAGCTAAAGATGAATCAGCAGTGTGACATTGTTGCAAAAAAACCAAACATTCTGGGATGCATTAACAGGAGTGTTTTAAGCAAGCCATGAGAAGTCATTCTTCCACTCTACTCTGCACTGGAGTACTGTGTCCAGTTCTGGGCACCACATTTCAGGAATGATGTGGGAAATTTTTACTCGTGCTTTTATTAATGTTTGAGTCTGTATGTGTGTGTTCCTCCTCTCTATATGTTTTTAGCTGGTTATGTCCCTCTGAGGTCTCATATTTTAAATTCTCATATTTTAAATTTTTATATATATTTCTATTTTTTTTGTTTGTTCTTGTAAGCCATCTTGAATATTTTAAATAGAAAGGCGGGGTAAAAATATTTAAATAAATAAATTGGAGAAGGTCAAGAGAAGAGCAACAAAAATGATTCAAGGTCTAGAAAATGTGATCAACGAGGGAAGACTGAAAGAACTGGATTTGTTTCGTTTGGGAAAGAGAAGACTGAGAGGGAACATGATAACAGTTTTTAAGTACCTAAAAAGTTGTTACTAGAGGAGGCAGAAAATTTTTTCTCCTCAACCTCTGATGATAGGACAAGAAGCAACTAGCTTAAATTGCAGCACGGGAGGTTTAAGTTGGACATTAGGAAACCTTTCTAACTGTCAGGATGGTTAAGCACTAGAATAAATTGCCTTGGTAGGTTTTGGAATCACCATCACTGTAGATATTTAAGATCAGGTTAAATAAACATCTGTCAGGTATCTAGACAGAGCTTGGTGCAGGGAATTGAACTTGACCTCTTGAGATCACTGCCAGTTTTAGTATTCTGTGATTCTAATGAGGTTTTCACCCTACACCACTCCTGAGGGATTAAAATGGCCATGAAGGGGCTAATTAACCTGTTAGACTGCACCTGGAGGAAACTAAGGCTTGATTGACAAAAGGGATGTGAACACCTAATCGACTATCCAATAAACAAATGCTTATCGGATAGTTGACATGCTAGTTGACTAGTCACTTCCCCCCTCCCTCCCGCTGTCTCTATCAGAAAGAGGCAGCAAGGGGTGGGGGAAGAGAAGGGGATGCTTCAACCACGCGGAGCTGCCACTTTGAAATGCCATGTGCAGCCCGGGGCCTGCTGGGGACTTGACTCCCAACTGGCCCCGGGCTGCATACGGCGTTTCAAAGCGGCAGCCCTGAGTAGAGCCAGGGGTCAGCTGAGGACTCCCCCGCTGATCCCAGGCTCTGTGTGGTGCTGCCATTTGAAATGCATGGAGTCTGACGCCTGGTTCCCCACGGCATTTCAAAGCGGCAGCGCCACATGGAGCCTGGGGTTAACTGGGGATTCTGAGTCCCTAGATGACCCTGGGCTCCCTGCAGCGCTGCTGCTTTGAAATGCAGGGAGCATGGGGTTAGCGGGGGACTGCTTGAATTCCCTGCTGGCACCATGCTCCCCGCAGCGCTTTCACCTTTGAAGTGTAGCAACGGCCTTGGGACTGTTGCTATACTTCAAAAGCTATGGCTTGTCAACTAATCAAATAGTCGATGCAAATTGCTTAGACTGTTCAATTAGCCAGTTAATCTAAATTTAACATCCCTAATTGACAAGTATTAATTGAAGATGAGACCAGTGTGCCCTCCTAACTGTGGGGCAGCACAGCTTCACAGGTAATTAATCAGCCCTAATCAGATGGCCAGCTCTGTGCATGGAGCCCTGAGTCTCTGACTGGGCGGGGCTAATTAATCACCTGTGAAGCTGTGCTGCCCCACAGTTTAGAGTGAACACTGGATGCGATCCATAGACAGAAGCAGATGAGGCTTACATAAAGCTGAAAGTGGAATGCATTAAGAGCTGCACTGTGCAGTCTGTAATCACTGTCTTGGCCTAGTAAGGCGAGAAGGATGAAAACTGGGGCAAGGAAGAAGAAATAGAAGCCCTGAGATCTTGACCTTGAGGGATCCCTTTATTCAAAAGGGAGGTAGAGAAGAAAGCTTGTAGATGACAAAGTAGGAAAAAGCCAAGGGAAACAACAGTGCAGACCATGCCTGCTATTTACGGAGTCCCCTGGCTGGAATCTGGAGTAGCAGGTGGGCTTGGTTTTCCCCAATGGAAAAGTAGCATAGTATTGAATTGGAAGACAGTTTGGAATGGCACTTGCACACATAATCAGGTGATTTTTTTTTCTAGCAGCGGAAAATTGTACAATGACTTGGCTGGAGCACCAAGCCATGAAGAGGAAGGTCCAAGCCACAGAGGAAGTGTTGCGACTCCTAGAGAGGAAGAGGGCCTTTGGTATAAGGAAGCAACAAGGAGAGAACACCCTAAATTAAGAGACAGACAGACAGACCACGGAGACAGTGAGTGATAAAAGGGGATGTCAGTCCTTGCAGAGCTTATTCATAGAACTGAAAGGAACCTCAGGAGGTCATTAAGTCTAGTCACCTGTACTAATGGCAGGACCAACCACCATCTAGACCAGGGGTGGGCAATAAAAAAACAAGAGCTGCAGTCGTCCAATACCTGCAGAAGTGCAGCTAAATGTAGAGGTGGGGGCCCTCCAGGGACTAACCCTGCACACTCGATCTGGCCTGCAGGCCGGAATTTGCCCACCCCTGATTTAGACCATTTATAACAGGTGTTTGTCTAACCTGCTCTTAAAAATCTCCAGTGATGTAGATTCCTCAACCTTCCTAGGCAATTTATTCCAGTGCTTAACCACCCTGACAGGAAGTTTTTCCTAATATCAAACCTAACCTTCCTTTGCTGCAATATAATCCAGTTTTTAACTTTTCTCCCTCCTCCATGTAACAACCTTTTAGGTACTTGAAAGCTGTTATGTTCCCTCTCAGTCTCCTCTTTTTCAAACTAAACCCAGTTCTTTCTATCTTCCCTTATAAGTCATGTTTTCTAGACCTTTAATAATTTTTGTTGCTCTTCTTTGGACTTTCTTCTGTTTGTCCACATTATTTCTGAAATGTGGTACCTAGAACTGGACACAATGCTCCAGTTGAGGCCTAATCAGCACAAAGTAGAGCAGAAGAATTACTACTCATATTTTTGCTTACAAAACTCCTGCTAAGACATCTCAGAATGATGTTTGCTTTTTTGCAACACTGTCACATTGTTGACTCATTTAACTTTTGATCCACTCTGACCCTCAAATTTATTTCCACTGTACTCCTTCCTACGAAGTCATTTCCTATTTTTTGTGTGTATAACTGATTGTTCCTTCCTAAGTAGAGTACTTTGCCTTTGTCCTTATTTAATGTCATCCTCACACCAAATCATTTTGAATTATAATCCTGTCCATGGCATTTGCAACTCCTCATAGCTTGATATCATCCACAAACTTAATAAGCATATTCTCTATGCCATTATCTAAATCACGGCCATAAGTGGCATGCAGGCTGATTTTGAATGGCACACGGTGGGGCTGCATCATGGGCGGTTGTCCCATGTACTGCGGCTGGAGCTGGGTCGCAGTGAGGCTGTCCCTGCTGAGGCAACCTCACCATGGCCCCAGTTCTGGCACTGTGGTAGCTACACAGCCCGGCTGGCAGTGCAGTGTGCTGGGAGGCTGCTCTGGGGATGGCCAGGCCACGTGGCAGAGCAGAGCTGCTCCGGGGCCGGGGCTGTTCTGGGGATGACTAGGATACATGGGGAAGCAGGGTGCCCCCGAGCCAGCTGCCAGGGGCAGGGCTGGACTTGGACTGGTGTGCAGTGGCTGTGGGGAATAGGAGAGCTCGCTCTGGGGTGCTGTTTTCCTGCTTTGGAGGAGAGTGGGGTGTGTGTGTGCAGTGCTGCCTTTGAGCCTCTTGGCCACCTTCACCTGGGAGTCCTGTCCCCACCTCCTCCAGCCTGGTACTCTCCTCCTTGTTGTGCAGCCCCTGCCCTGCAGCTATGGCGCTCCCTGCTCTGCTCGCCTCCCTTTCTGCCTCACAGCCCCCACTGCAGGCGGGCTAAAGAAGGTGCCGAAGTCATGCCCAGCTGCTAGCAATGCAGCCTCTGGGCCCCCAATAGAGAGTGAGTGCTGTTTGGGCTGCAGGTCCAGAGCTGGGTGGCACTGGGGGCAGCTGAAGGGAGAGGAAAATGCATGGGGGGTTCCCCTGCCTCAAAGCCCCATTGGTCCCTGGATCCCTGGCAGGAAGGCGAGGGCGTCATGGAACAGACCCCCATGGGACCCTGCCCCCAGAAGAACTGACATTTTGAAGTCACCCACCTGCCCACTCCTGCCTTGCCCATTTCCCTGAACTCCCTGCCCCTGAGTTATGACCCCAGCCCATGCTGGTGATCCAGCATCGTGCTCCCCACAAGATTGGAGCCAGCACTGGCTTCCTGCAGCGGGAGGATGTCCCAAGGCTTCATGCTACATCTAGGTTCTGGGGAAATACGCATGTGCTGTTCCTCCTGCCCCACCGAAAAAGCCCAGGACAGGAGACCAAGCGGGGAGCGCAGTGGAAAGAATGCCCCCACCTCCCGGCAGAGCGGCATGGCCCAGGGCAAGAGGGTTAAATCTTGGCATGTCACTTCGGAAAGGTTGCTGACCCCTGTTGATGGAGAGATTGAACAGAATCAGTCCCAAAATTGATTCCTGCAGAACCCCACTTGTTATGACATTGATCCATTGATAAACTACTCTCTGAAAAAGGTTATCCAACCAGTTATTTACCCACCTTTCAATAGCTCCATCTAGTTGTATTTCCCTAGTTTGTTAATGAGAAGGTCATGCAAGAGTGTACCAAATGCCTTACTAAAATCAGGATATACCACATCTAATGGTGCCCCCAATCCACAAGGTGTATTTGACATGGTTTGTTCTTGAAAAATCTATGTTGACTATTACTTATCACCTTATCTTCCAAGTGTTTGAAAATTGAGCCCTTAATTATTTGCTCCGTTATCTTCCCTCAGACACTTCACTAGACTAAATATATGCTGAACCTTTCCTCAAATCTTTGTCTTCTAAATGTTTTATCATTTCATAGGAGAGAAATGGAGAGCTCTGCTTTCTGGCTTCTACCTTGTTGTTTCGATCATAGCTGTCATGCAACTGGAGATGTTTCCCCACTTTGCTTCCCAGATCCATCCACTTTCCTTTGAACCATTTCACTGATGGTTTCTTCAGCATGCTGGCACCTGCCACTTTGCAAGTGAATGTGATGTTTCCACCTTGAAAAGGAGACAGGTTAAGATAAGACTGTGAGTGGTGTTTAGTATTTCTCTTAGATTGTTGCTATTGTAGTAATATATATAGAGACAGAGATAGTATCCAGGTGTAGTGTTTGTTAGCAGATTACAAAAATCAAGTCTTTTACTCACCAACAGCGACTTCTCCATCCTGAGGCCGTGTCACAAAGAGACCAATAGGGTCCAGAGGCACCTCTGTTTGAGCCTCAGGAGCTGGAACTGAAACAGATCTGGATTTATTAACTATCTTTTCATTTCAGCCTTTCTCCTAACCTGCATAGTGAATCTTTTACATAATTTCATTGTTCCCTCAATATTTTCCTGCACTCAGATATTTCCTGTTTTGGTGCCTTATTCCCACTTCACTTGTCTTATCACTTATATTCTTCCTCCTGGTACTTTTTTCCCAACTATCAATGTTAGGATTCCTTCTTTCAATGGCTATGTCTAGACTACAGGGTTTTTCCAAGATACCAGAGGTATCCCGGAAAAACTCCACCGCGTCCAGGGAACATGTCTGCTCTTCCGCTTTCTTTTTTTGCAGAAGAGCAGACACGCTCTTTCAGAAACTCTGTCTTCCTTCTCCCACAAGGAAGAAGGGCTCTTCCAAAAGAGGGTTTTTTTTCCAAAATTTGGCCCAGTGTAGATGGGCCAAATTTCAAAAAAGCCTCTTCCGAAAAAACAATCAGAAAAAAGTATGCAAATTGAGGAGCGCATTTTTTTCTGATAAAGCCCCATAATGTAGACATAGCCAATGAGTCAACAAGGGCAGTGGTTCTCAGCCAGGGTACATGTACTCCTGAAGGTACACAGGCATCTTCCAGAAGCTACATCAACTCATATAGATGTTTCCCTAGTTTTACAACAAGCTACATAAAAAACAATAGATTTCTGTATAAACTAAAATTTTATACAGACAGTGACTTGTTTACATAGCTCTATATATCATATACTGAAATGTAAGTATAATATTTATATTCCAGTTGATTTATTCTTAGATGGTAAATGAGAAAAATCAATTTTCAGTTATAATGAATTGACACTGATTTGTGTTTTATATCTCATTTTATAAGCAAGTAGTTTTTAAATGAGGTGAAACTTGGACTGCACAAAACAAATCAGACTCCTACAAAGGGTGCAATAGTCTATAAAGGTTGAGGGGGGTGTAACTGAACTAGGATCTGCTGCCTTCTGCTGGTGGTGTCTCTGCTGGTGTAGGTGAGTTTGAGACAGCTGGGGCAGAAGCAGCTTCAGTAGGAAGGACTACCTCAGACTTTTCTGGAAAAAAAAAAAGCCAGGCTACAGAAAGCCATGTATTTCTGGGATATACTTGAATTGTGCAGAGGAATATCTCTTCAGTGAGCCTTAAGAAATGCACAGAAAATTGGTTATTGTGTTATGGAGCTTAGAAGATGCACTGCTTTGGAAGGTGCTAGCCTTATAGAACTTCTAAGTAGATAAGAATAGTCTATCTTTATCAATCTTTGAGCTTAAGATAGTAAATTTTCTAATAATAAAAAATGGACCACCATAGCCCCATCACTTCCACCAGGTCCTGGCCCCCACTCACAATATTCCCCCTCCTTTGGTGGCTTGCTGTCCCCCACCCTCATTCACTTTCACTGGATGTGGACAGAGAGTTGGTGTTCATGAGGGATTGAGGGCTCTTACTGGGGTACAGGCTCCAGAGTGGGGCCAGAAGTGAGGGGTTCACAGCCTGGGAGGAGGCTCTTGGCTCACACAGGAAGTTGGAATGTACCAGAGGAGTGAGGACTCCAGCTGTGGATGTGGGCTCTGGAGTGGGGTGGGGGATGAAGGGTTCGGGAGGGGGATCTGGGCTAGACCAGAGGGTTGGGGTGTGAGGGCTCCAGCTGGAGGTGCAGGCTCTGAGCTGGAGATGAGTGGCTTGGGGTGCAGGAAGGGACTGGGGGAGGCACAGGGCTGGGGCTAGAGGTTGGAGCCTGGGCTTACCTTGGGCACCTCTCAGTCAGTGGCAAAGTAGGGCTTAAGACAGGTTCTGTGCCTGTCCTAGCTCCATGCTGCACCCCAGAAGTGGCATGACCAGCAGGTCTAGCTCCTAGGTGGGATTGGGAGCTCTATGTGCTACTCTCACCCACAGGCACCACCCTCAAAGCTCCCATTGGCTGTAGTTCCTGGGCAATGGAAGTGCTGAGCCGGTGCTCAGGTCAGGGCAATGCATAGAGCTCCCATACCCAGTGGCTTAGGAGCTGGACCTGCTGGCTGCTTCTGGGGCATAGTGCAGAACCAGGACAGGCAGGGACTAGGTACCTTACCCCTGCAGCACTGCCAGCTGGACTTCCAACAGTCTGGTCGGTGGTGCTAACTGGAGCTGCAAGGATCCTTTTTCAACTGGGTGTTCTGGTCAAAAAACAGACAACTTGCAACCTTATTTGAGAACCCTTTTCTCTCTCTCAAAAGAGATGTTTGAGTTTTTAAATGCCATAATTTTCATGTATCAAATTTTAGATAGTTATGAAGAGATTTTCTACCCTTTGTTTGGCTTTGGTGGTGTACATAGAAATAGCTGTGATGAAAAATGTAACAATGAATATCTGGTTTAGATCTATATGTATCTAAAGTTTGAAATGTTATAACTATTTGTATATTAGTGGACTCTGAAAAATGAGGTGACTGCCTCAAAATTGAAAAAAGGAGTCATTTAAACTCCTTCAGACTCCTCCACTCTTGAGAAGTTATATATCTAACTTTATAGAAAACTAAATCTGTGTCTTGAGGGAAAGTGATGTGATATTTAGTTTTATTTTAATACTTAACAGAGGACCAGATTCTGCCATCTTTACTCAGATAGGATAGCAGCATAAGAACTATTATCTAAAGAGAGTTAAATCCCATTTTAATTGAAACTCTCCACATCTCTAATTATGGAGATACCTCCATGCTTATATAAAAAAGGTTCATCTTGAAACATCAACATAGAGTTTACATAGAAAACAACTTCTCTGCACAATAGCATATTTGATATTACTGTCAGCTCTCTTCATCCATCAAAAGAACCTTTCCCCTGATAAAGATCCATTTCAGTCTTCTGGAATACTGTAGTATGTTCTATCTAATTGTAAAGACATCAGGAAATTTCAGTTAATTTAATATGTAGCTGCTTACCTCCTAAGAGGCTAGCTCACAGTACCAAAAAGAAAGGAAAAGGTGAATGGGAAGACAGGACTCTGAGACTGACAGTCCCCAGGAACAATGGGGAGAGGCCACTGCTCCAGGTCATCTTGGTTGATAGGGCACAGGTAGGCTAATGAAGGAAACAGGAGGCTGGGAAGTCCTATCTTTCATGTGAGCTGGATTTGTTTGCGTCACACTGAGTGGGACCAAGCTAAGGAGAGAGCAAAGGCTCTAAGCTGAGCTAGAGAGCAGAGCTGTGCCAGTCAGAGAAATTGTAGAAACAGCCCCAAGAGCTGCAGTAACAAAGCCAGAAAACAGACCTTGTGCTGGGAGGTGAGGAGCAGCCCAGAGAGCTGGAGGCAAAGTGGCAGAGAATGGAGTTGGAGCTGGGTGCAGTGAGCTGTTAGGGAAAATGAGGGGGGACCCTAGGTAGAAGCCCAGTGCAAGGAGGCACTACCAGCCAAGAGGCTTTGCAGGCCTGGCTGGGGGGGAACCCTGAGTGGGGAAGGGCTGATGCTAGAAAGGAAGGCCTTGCCACCTAGAGTCTGAAGGTATGTGGCCACCGCCAGAGCAAGTGTCTGTCCCTGCAGCGCAGCCAGAACCTCAGAAAAAGGCCTGGATTTGTGAGGAACAGACTGAGAACTTCCCTTACATTCAAGAGTACTGTTTGTGATGTCCCCATGCCACAGGGTTATGTGTTTTCCTTTAACTTTTCACATTTTGTCCTTATTATTTTTTTAAATTGTTGCTGTTTAATAAACTGTATTTGCTTTGAATTGTATGTAATGATTAGTGGGCCAGGGAAGTGTCCAAGGAGAGAACACCCTGGAGTGAGATCACCTTAGCCTCTACCCTAAGTTACCACAATAAGACTGGGAGTCAAGCTGCCCAGGAATCCTTGACCCAGCATTGTTAGGGTTATGAGAACCCTGCCACAAAGGAGACTGGAAGGGGAGCCTTTGAGGTCAGGAAGGTCTGTGGGTAAAGATCCTTTTCCTAGCCCATTTCACCACAGTGGTGTAGAAGCCAGGAAAGTTCCCCACAACAGCAGGACCATTCCTCCACTTACACTGGGAAAAGACCAGGTGGAATCTTGCTATGCTTGGTGTTTTTTTTTCTTAAAGTCCCAGATCCTACAGTCATGTGAGAATCTAATTTTTTATTTTAAAAACACGTGGGGGGGGGGGGGGGGGTGAGGGGAGAACTTAACAATATGAAAAACAAAGATTCAGGCACCAGAGATCAAATAAAAATAACTCCCTTATTTATTAAAATCTCATCTTATGAGTCTAGTTCGTGATTTCTAAATGCTTGGGTTGGGTTCTGAATAAACAATAGTGGTTTAGGAAATACCATACCTGGCTCTTTGACCTTGAGGTCAAATTTGACCTTGGAACTTCCTGCAATTATAGCATATGTTGCATCATCCTCTCTTCCAGTATTATTGATAGACAGCGAATGCTTGTTCCCCTCAGCCTTGATGATATACTTCTCGCTTTCAATCAGTTCTGATCCAGCTCGCTGCCACTTAACCTTGATGCCAGTCTTCTCAGTCTCTGCTTCAAACACAGCTGTGTCTCCTGCCATCACCTCTGTTGTCTTTGGCTTCTTGGTGAAAGCAGAAGCTAAAAGGAGAGTGGGATCACACATTTACATTTTCTTGTAATTAGACTTTGTGTCTACAACAGCTTTTGTCTGCCTTCTATCCTTCCGCCACAATCTACCTTCCATCTTCCTCTGCAAGATGTAACTATAATAGTCTCTATGACTGTGTAATATCATGATTTAACAGGACAGTTTAATTGAGGTAGCCTCCAATCTTCTCCATATTGTCATGAAATAGTATTTAATGGATTGAAAACTGTTTCCAAACTAGGAACTGTACATAGGTTAGAAGCACTGCCTGCTTTCCTTCTCTATTCAAAGCAAACTCTGAAACTCATTGCCACTCACAGTATAGAGGTACCCCAAAGAGAAGTCTCATTAAGCTCTCCTTGCTTGCAGTGTTAAGGCATTATTTCACACCAAAGAAGCCAAAATAATAACTTGCAGTGATAATGTAACGTAACGCTCCACACATTGCTCCACACACTATTACATTCGTGCCTCGCATGTGCACCTTGCACTAGTACATGCTGGAGAGCCCTGTGGGGCCACTAGAGTCTGTCATCCAGGTGTCAGTAGGCTGGATCCTGGTCAGCCTGCCTGGACCCACCAGCCTGATTCCCTGCAGTCCTGATGTGACAGCCTCCATTCCCAGGCCTGTATGCAGAGGTTGTGTGAATGCATCCCCCATGCTGACCCAGGAGTTCCCATAATGGCTAAGCAGGGTCTGGGACTGCCCAAGGCAGGGTAAAAAAAAAAATCAGTGTTTTAAGGGGGGAGGGAAAATACATGGAAATACCTGCCACGCTGGGACCCCCAAACCCACCAGCGTCTCCCAGATGCTGGGTTCGTCAGTAAACTGGCAAGCTTAGAGTCTCTCCACACGGAGCCAGAGAGCAGTGGTTGAGCATGTGAAGCACAGCTCCAAGGGAAAGGAGATTCAGATGGTGGATGTTTGTGCTGCGCTCCGAGACGAGCAGCCTTTTCCCTCGCTAAGTGGGGATGTGCCTGAGCCACCGAAGCAGCCTCATAGATCAACCTAAGGAAGAGCAAAGTCCCTGCCAGCCAGACTCTGGGACATCACCCCCCCCTTCCTCGGCCTGCCTGTCACATAATGAGGAAGGAGCCAGGGAGCATTCTCCTGGGCTCTGGATGCCCCTTGGAATGCTCATAGCCAGGAACTGAAGCTTGGCTCCCCCAGGAACACAGAGCACAGCTTCAAGCATGCCGGTGGGTGGCTACTTACAGGCTTGTTTGGAAGCAGGCCCTGCGTTCCCACAGCCATTGTCCAGGGGTGCACACGTCCCAGTGTGCTCGCTCCCTTGGAGCCCTTAGCAAGCCCCTCGGGCTGGGATTAGGTTAAGGGCACTTTGCGGGGCTGCGAAGCAAGCAGTGCCAAAGCAGCAGAAGCAACAGTTCGAGCAGAAAGTGTAGCAGTAAAGGCGGGTGCCTGGTGAGGAAATGAGGGTTTTTCCTAAGGTGGGAGCAAGTATGGTCTCACTGCTCTCTGGGCTACAGCTACTTCCCTGGGGCAGGCAGCTAAATAGCTCCCTGGGGTCACTGGAAGGCAGCAACCTGTGCAGCTACTGGGCCTGCACTTGTGGTGTGGGGGGGAAGAGAGAGAGAGAATCACCGTGGCCTGCATGAATAACAATAATTTTACCAGTCACTGTTTCCTCTCAGATTTTTCATTAACCTATCTCATACACACTCGTTGCATTACTATTTTGAAGTGCTTTTATTTAAAAAAATTGTGATCCATATTTACAAAAAAAAAGCAACCCCCCCACAAAAATTCCTGTGTACACGCCTGATTCCACACTTGGCCCATGGGCCACTAATTTATCACGTGTGGTGCGGCCTCTGCCTGCCGTGGGGGAGTGACTGTTACAATAAAGTAAGTCCCGTCCAGACCCTGCCCCCTCCCAGGCTAAGACCTCCCACCTTCCCCCCACCTTGCTCCTGTCCCCTCCCCCTGGTCGGGGGAGCATCAGCGTCTGGAGCACAGGGTTAGGGACTTGAGTCCCTCCCTTATCCCTACCCCACCCACACAGGCAGTGGCCTGGCAGCCAACATGAGTTGCTGCAGGGATGGAGCTGGCTCCAGTATCAGGAGAGCAAGATAAGGGATGCCCTGATGGTAGGGAGGTGCGGTGGGCTCTGGAGTTGCTTAGGGGAATGGGCATCTGCCTGGTGAGCATAGGGCGGTGGGTGCGAATCCTACACTCTGCCTGCTCCTGCACCCCACCTCCTACCCGTATCCTGCGCCCAAGTGCATGGAAGTGCAAATGTGCTGCTCTAGCCTTCCCCATAGGAAAAGTCAGAGTGGAGCCCAGGGCAGGAGACCAAGAGAGAGCCCCCCCATTCCTGGAAGAGCAGCATAGCCTAGGGCAGGAGGGTTAAATCTTGTCATGCCACTTTGCCAACACCTGGCATTAGATACTTTTAAAAATTTTACACATAGTGCTTTTCAGCTTCAGAAGGGCCTTGGCATTCACTAACAAATATATATACAAAACATAAGAATGGCCATGCTGGGTCATCTAGCCCAGTTTCCTGTCTTTAATCAGTGGCAAGTGCCAGGTGCCCCAGAGGTAATGAACAGAACTGATCAGTGAGGTTTTTTTTATTTAAATAAAATTAAATGTTCCATCTAGATGGATTTAAACCTTAAATTATCTTAATTTGTTCTCATGCTGCTCTTTTGAAGAACAAATAATTAAGTAGCAGATTTTTTCACCCTTAAGTTTCTCTCCTAAAACTTTATTTGCTGTTGCTAACTCTCTGGAGATTGTTCTTTGATTACTTGACAAAACCTGAGTCACTTAAAAAAAAATTAGGAGCGTAAAAATTTCCATACTGTAATGAACCAATACTAAATAGTTCAGGATCTCTTAGTACTGTCACAGCAGGAGACATGGCATATTTAGTTCAGTATCTCACCTCTTGTTGTACCAGAATAAACCAGTGTTTCATTTAGTCTTGCTTTCTTGTCTTTGGGTACGTCTAGACTACAGGGTTTTGTCGACAGAAGTTTTGTCGACAGATGCTGTCGACAAAGCTTCTGTCGACAAAGAGCGTCTAGACTACATTCAGTTCTGTCGACAAAGCAAGCTGCTTTGTCGACAAAACCCTGTAGTCTAGACATAACCCTACATGCAATAACACATTCTGTCGACAGAACTCTGTCGACAGAAGGCGTTATGCCTCATAAAATGAGGTTTACCAGCGTTGACAAAACTGCTGAGTTCTGTCGACGTTATGTCGACAGAACTCAGCGGTAGTGTAGACGCAGGTATAGTTTTGTCGACAAAAGTCCACTTTTGTCGACAAAACTCTGTAGTCTAGACACACCCTTTGACAGCTGCCAATACTTAAGTCTTCTCTGGCAGGATAAAAGCACTCTAATTATAGGCTTTATTTTATTCCACCTATCTGTATTCAAATATTTAATCTGGTTTTGAGTTACTAAAATATTTGTCTTCATAAAATTCTGACAACATTTCTACTAGCTAATTTCATACTGTATCAACATTTTCCTTTACATGTCCCCTTATTGAAATTGGTGTTTTTATCAGTGTTGAGAATTCAAGTAACATTAAGGTACTAAGATGAACAAGTGTAAAGGCAGATTATTCACTTTTGTCCATATACAAACTCAAACTAACATGTTTGATGAGCACGTCTGGAGCACTTTTTAGTAAATCATTGTAGGACCTTTTTGCTGACTTCTCCAACTAAATAGGCAATGGAATTTAGAATTGCTTATGTCCACTTCTGCAAATTTCCTCTCTCTCTTTTGTTGTTGGTTTTACTTGGGCAGCTATCTTAGCTGCCAAATACATCAGTAAATCTGAGAACTGGAAGTGTAAAATATTCTAAAAAGTTTAGGTCATATTCATGCTCCAGCATGCACTCTACTTAGTGGATCTTTTGCTAGTAATACCATCTGTCCATTGTTCACCTCTAGATAGATCTACCAGGTTCTCTGCTGACATTCCTCATAAGAACATAAGATCTGTAATTGCCGGGATGACCTCTAGAACCCTTTTCAAATATTGGTGTCACGTTATCTATCTTCCAGTCAGAAAGTACGGAAGCTGATTTAAGGGATACATTACAAACCACAGTTAACAGTTCTGCCATTTCCCATTTGTGTTCTTTTAGAACTTTTGGGTGAATGCCATCCGGTCTTGGTGATTTGTTCTTGTTAAGTTTTTCTATTTGTTCCAAAACCTCCTCTAATGACACTTCAATCCAGGACAGTTCCTCAGATTCATATCCCACAAAGGACCGTACAGGTTTGGGAATCTCCCCAACATCCTCAGCCATGAAGACTGATGCAAAGAAATCATTTAGCTTCTCCACAATGGCTTTATCGTCCTTGATTGCTCCTTTTGTATCTCAATTGTCTAGGGGACCCACTGGGTTTTTAGCAGGCTTCCTGCTTCTAACGTACTTAAAAAACATTTTGCTATTGTTTTTTGAGTTTTTGGCTAGCTGTTCCTCAAAATCTTTTTTTGCTTTTCTTATTACAGTTTTACACTTATTTTGACAGTGTTTATGTTCCTTTCTATTTATCTCACTGGGATTGGACTTCCATTTCTTGAAAGATGCCTTTTTGTCCCTCACTGCTTCTATTACATGGTGGTTAAGCCACGGTGACTCTTTTTTAGGTCTCTTACTATGTTTTTTAATTTGGGGTATACATTTAAGTTGAGCCTCTATTATGGTGTCTTTAAAAAGTTTCCATGAAGTTTGCAAGGATTTGGCTCTAGTCACTGTGCCTTTTAATTTCTGTTTAACTAACCTCCTCATTTTTGTGTAATTTCCCTTTTTGAAATTAAATGCCAGAGTGCTGAGGTGTTCTTCCCACCACAGGAATGTTAAATGTTATTATATAATGGTCACTATTCCCAAGCGGTCCTGTCATAGGTACGTCCTGGACCTGATCCTGCACTCCACTCTGGACTAAATCGAGAATTGCCTCTCCCTTTGTGGGTTCCTGTACCAGCTGCTCC